TATTTTGTTTAGAATAATTATTTTGTTGTAAGAAATATTTGCTTTTTTGCAATTAAGTATACTATTAATCATCCTTGAGATATTTGTCTCTATATTATTGTAATGTTATTAGATATAAAAATTTATCTTTTTTCTTTGTACTACTTTTATTTTGATACTTCAAGCTTTTTATATTATGTTTTTCAAGTTTTTTAACTCTATAAAAAAGTGGGTATAATTTGAAATTAAATCTGTAAGTTGGCAAAGTGTCATTTGTAGTTTGGTTAGAGTAATTATTTTTTTAAAAAGTATTAATAATTTAAACTATAAAGATAATTAAGTTTGAAGATTAAATTGAGCAAATAATACAAAGTGCATTGTTAATTGTTTTGAGTACTAGATGTAGTTTGATAGCTTTTAATAAAAAAATATAGAAGGTTTTGCATGCTTTCAAAATTGTTGATAGCTTAGTTAGCAATTTTTTTGATTGTGTTTGATTATTTATTCAAATATTTGTTAAGTTGGTTGTAGTTTACAGAAGAGGATAAAATATTTAGAGTTTTAAACTTATTTTTAATAGCTTTTGAAAAGTTTTGCCAAGAGTTCAAATTCATTTGGTTGTAAAGATAAATTTTTATTTTTTTTTTAAATCTTAGAAGTTTGAGATTAAAGTTAGTTTTTCAAGTGGTTTAAATTATTTTGTAGTTACTATTAGTAATTTGGTTGAATTAATTAGTATAGGTAAGTTATTATAAAAATAAAAAGAAAATAGTTGTCTAGAATATTTTATTAGGAATAAATTATATAAGATTGAAAATAATATAGTTAACCCTCTATATAGTCACCTCCTATACAATTATATCATATGTAATCATATTTTTATTTAGACTAAACTATGCTTTAATTTATAAGAAAAAAACCTTCATATAAGCACAACCTCTTTAAAAGTATATTTTTAAAAAAATTTACTATATACCCAACTGTGTAATTATATAGAAGGATGGCTATAATAATAAAATAGATAAGTTAGGTTTGGTAGATTGAAAACTAGTTTGTATAATTTCATTTATATTAGAAAAGAGTAGTTATTAAGAATATCTTATTTGGAGTTAGATAGATTGAAAAGATTAAGTAGATATGGAGAAGTGTTTTGAAAGTTAAAGTGATTTTGTAATTTAGTGATAGTTTCTTAATATGCTTATTCTTGGTAATTAGAATTTGAATAGTATATTGCAGATTAGTTTGTTCTAAATAAGTATTAATTTTAAAAATCTAAGAGAGGAGTGGTAGCTTTGTAGCAGAGTTAGAATTAGTATAAATCTCTATTCAGTTAGCTAAAGATTAATAGAAGAAGTAGAATTCTCTTAGCAGCTATGCAGATTTTACTAATATTTTTGGATTCCTAATTGGAAAAGTTAGATTAACTTTAGTAATAAGATTAGATTTGTTTAAAAGTAGGAGTTTGCTAGTGAGATTAGCAGTTATGTAAGTAAGTAGTAGTGGAATATTAAACTTGTATTTCAGTAATAAATTTCTTGGCTAAATAAGAATTAATAATAGGGAATATAAAAGTTTAAATAGTTTTAACTAAGTATAGATCTGCAGGGAGGAGTTTTTTTTGGATAAAAGAAGTGAATATATTATTTGTATTGTTGAAAAAATTACTAATATAATGTTAAAGCTATATATTATATAAACTATAAATATTATAAAAATTGTAATTAAATATTATAATATTAAAAGTAAATTAAGAGAAATAAGATTGTGTTTAGTAATAGTTAAATATTTTTTGTAAATTAGATTACAAATAAAAAGAGTAATAACAAAATTCTAAATATAATATTTAGTAGTAGAAATAATAATAGTATTAATAATATAAATTATTTGTTTATTAGTAATAGTTTTGGTATTGGCAATATTAGCTAACTATAAAGCTTTTTCTTAAATAAGTTTGATTTGCTTTATATACTTATTATATATTAAAAATAAACTAGCAGTTTAAAAATTTAAAAGGTTGGTAAGTTAAAATAGATAAATGATTAAAATTAAGAATAAATATAGATAAAAATAGATATTTGGATATAAGAATAAATTTAGAAAAGTTGACTTGGATATTGGCTATATTATAAAAAAAATTGCAATATTAATAATTTTATTAGATTTTTTTTTATTAAATAATTTATATAGTATTATTTATATAGATCAAAACTAATATAAAGATATAAAGATAATTAATAGATAAATAGATAAAACTGAGTTGCCAAAATATAGAAAATATATAACTTGAAAAGTATGAAGATATATATATAATAAGAGAATTATAGTAAATTTTTTAAAAAAGAAAAATAATAATTTTATCTTGAATAATACTATTTTTTTGTAAAGTAAAAATTAATAAAACCAAGGTTAGTAATAATATAGTTAATACAATTAATAAAAATATTAGAAAAAATATTAATAAATTGTTAAAATATTTGAAGTTTATATAGTAATTTTTGAAAAAGTTCAAAGTTAATATAGTAGTATTATAGGCTTTACTTATATTTTGTAAAAGAAGCTAGAGTTGGTTGAATTAATAGTCAAAGTTTTTAATAATATTGTTTAAGATATGTATAGAAATAAATGTAAAATTACTAAAAAGTTAATTGGCAATCTGTGAGTTATCTGAAGAGTGGTCATAGTAAAATATGATGCAGATTACTTATAAAAATTAGAGATTTGTAAATATGGTATGTGCATATCTAAAACTTTTTTTTATACAGTATGGAACAGCATAAATCAACATCAAAATTAGTCTTTTAAAAAAATTAACTAATTATTCAATTTTAGCTTTATTAAAAAAATATTCTAACCAAAACATTCTTTATAAGCATAATAATTATTTGGTTAGAATAAAATTTTAAAATATATGTGTATTTAAAAGTTATAACATTTTAAAGTTGTTCAATTTTTATATATAAGTTTCAATTTGGCTGGTAAAGATGATTGGCTAAAAACAAGATACGTGATATGTGCTGATTTTGATTGGCTAGTTTCCAAGTACCCAAGCCAACAAGTTTACTCTGGACAACATGGTGTACATGTTTGAAAAAAGGAAATTTGCTGCGTAATTAACAATACTGAAAAATATATATTTTTTTTTAAATTGAAAAAATAGACAGCTATTATAGTATTTGATGGGTTTGTAATACAAATATGAAGAATAAAAAAGCAGGTTAGAAGATAGTATAATGCAAACATAAAATATAAATACTGAAATATAATTACTGAATTATATGTATGTACTATATGTATATACATTTTAAAAACTTTGTCAGTTAGTACAGTACTATATAATCCTGTTGATTTTATTTGAAAAAATATAGAACTTACTTTCTCAGATTAAGATCTAATAAGAAAATTCTTTGTTTTTTATTAAAAGTACACAATTGTTAGTAAATGGGTAATGCAATTTTGATTTTGTAATATATAGTATTTACTGTAAATCGGTAAAGTTTATGTGAAATGATATAATAAATATGTAAGATCAAAAAATGTATAAAAGAAAAAAAAAATTGATTCTTTCAAAAAGTAATAAGCAAATATATGTACCAAGTAGTATCTTTGTATATAGTGTTTTGTGTAGAAGTAGAAAGGTATTACTAGTATTGAGGAAAAAAAATACTATAGCAAATACATATTAAAATCTTACCTTTATAAACATTAAGAGAGATTCTTATCTCATCATTTTTTTTTTATTTTTTCTAATATCATACAATAAAATGCTACCAGTAAGCAAATGTGTTTATCAATTACAGAAAAATATATCAATTGCTCACCAAAAATTACAAGATTTAGAAAATAATAAAAATACTAAAAGTGATAGTAATATTAGTGATACTAAAGTGCTTGAGAAAAATGTATTTATAGATGAAGAAAAGGCAAAAACCATTAGTAATGTGTTTGAAAAAATGATGAAACAAATGAATTAAAAACAAATAGTATATAAAAAATGTTCTCTTACTTATATTGAAAATTCTGAAAAAACATGTCAGCGAAAAAAGGCTAAAAGCAGACAAGCTATCACAAAAATGATTAATATTACAACTTTTTTTTCTAAAGATGAAAAATTCAATCTAGAAAGTAGTAATGAAGAAAGCCAGAATTTAGATTGTGTTAATACAGAAAATAACCAGCAACAAAGTTTTAAGAATAATCAACAACAAAGTATTGAGAATAATCAGCAACAAAGTATTGATAATACAATTAAAAAAATTGAAATAATAATAAAAAATAAGAAGCTTAGAAAAGTTGAACTAGTGCATTATCAATTAGTTATCTGGTATTTGCATTTACCACAAAGTGAAAAAAATAAGAAAGACTCTAGTGAAACTGTTGCAACAGTTTGTAACAAAGGCAAATATTATACATGATATATAAAAAGATAGAATGCTATATGTTTAAAGAGTAATTATTATATAATATAAAATCTTATGTTTTTTTCAAAGATCTTATTTAAAATATAAATTCCATTTAATGTTAATATTACCAATAGATAAACCTTTATCTCAAAATTTTTAAAGAAAACATCTATCTAAATTATTTCTTTCTGACAAGGCTATATCTATGTATATAGCAACTTATCTTAGATCGATAAAATTTTAAGCAAATTCTTATCTAGTAAAACAGTACTTTGAAGAAAAAGTAGTTCCAGATCTTGGATTTACTACACCACAAATAATTAGTGTTAGAATGGTATAAAGATAGATGAATCTCAGATTTTATATATAAATAATATTATACGAGAATTTATATTGATGGACATAAGCATCCTGATATCATTGCATACTGAAATTAATTTTTAAAACTAATAGAAGAATTCGATTTGTTAATGTTTAAATGGCTGAATAAGGAGTGTAAAATAAAAATATTACCTAGATTACTTCCAAATCAAAAACTTCATATTTTAATAACACATAATGAATCAACATTTTATGTATATGATGGAGTTATATACCTTTTGGAGACCAGATAATAAACAACCTTTGAGAAAGAAAGATTTAGATGCAGGTTTACTTGTTAATAAATTTTTAGTAGAGGATATTGGTCAATTGAAAAATAATCCAGATAAAGCCTAGATAATTATAGCATCAGGTGCAAATTGTGATGGATATTGGAATAGAGTAAATTGTTAGTTCAAGTATATAAGGCTATTAATATATTTAAACACACACATCTAAAAACTATTGGAATTTGGGCATTCAATAATTCAACAATTTATATAGCAATGACCCTTAATATATTAAATACAAATCAAATAAATTTGTATTCTGAAGATAATCAACCATTATTGCATTCAGCAATGTGGAATAGTGATATTCAAGAAATAGTGTTTCCTTCTGATTATGAAATTAAAGAGTTATGAGGTCAAGCAAAAGGTAAAAAAAATATTTAATTTGATTTTATATGAATGAACATACTGTATATGTACAATTATAAAAAAAAAATACAAAAAAAATATATAGCAATCAAAAAAAAACTAATAAAAAATTAAAAAAAAACTACTAATGCCTAATAACAAAAGTCTGTACTGAATATATTATTTAATTACTTATTTTATTTATTTATTATAATTAAAAGAATAAAGGCTGTTTTGCAAGAATGAGAATTATGAAAAGAAGAGTTATTAGCTAATTGTAGAGGTGGACATACAGGAACTGAATACTATGTATGTCAAAATTCTTCTTAACTAATCTGATTTTTTGGCGCAATGAGGATTGATACAAGAAGAATTAGAAAAAAGAGGTTATAAAGCAATTTTTTATCTGAAATTCTATCCTGAACTAAATTATATTAAGATGTATTAAGGTGCTATAAAAGAATATGCCCAAAAGCATTATGATTATTCTTTTGCAGGTTTATGTCAAATTGTTCCAGAAGCTTTAAATTCAATTTTAGTAAAATGTTTCTATGTATATGCAAGATTGAGTTATTAATAGATAGATATATATTGATATGGATTAATAGGAGAAGCAGCTGAATATGCTGTTTGTAAGCATAAAAGTTATAGAAAAATTAATGAAGTAATGCTACAATAATATAAAGTTGATTTAATAATAATTTTAATAAAAATTTTAAATATACGTATATATATATATGTATGATATTGCTTGCATTCAAAGAATTTATTATATAATCAAAATAATACATTTTTATTGGATGAGATATATCAACATGTGATTCTGCATATTTTTAAAATTTAGCTGCTTTTATACAAGGGGTGTTAATTTATGCAGTCCTGCACTATACTAAGATAACTACCTTTCTGGCTTAAGAGACTTTTGTAGAGCTTGTCAAAATGTATCTAATAGTGAGTAAAATGTTAAAATCGGCCTAGTGGGTGCTGAGATATCTTTTTTTTTTTTTTTTTTTTTTATTAAATATAATGTCATAGTAGAAACTTTATTACAATAAACCTAGATTAATCAGAAGATTAATAGTCTTCTTGTTATCAGAAAGACTTGGGTAAGGGGACAGATAAGTCATTTGACCAGGCT